GATATTGCCATATAGTGAAGGCTTGAGACTACCTTTTTACATTATATTTATAACCGTAATTCTAATAGCGAAGAAAAAATTTCGGAAATTAAAAAGGTAACTCTTGAGATGGCCACCTATTATATTTGATCGTAGTCACAGCTTATCTTAGATATGCAGCCCTTATCCCTAAATACAAGATAGTAGAAGAATAGTGGTGATGATCGAAAGCTCCTGAACTCACTGACAGTCCTTTAGATCTCTATAATATTTGGAAAAAAAAACAATTGTTCTTGCTTTGACGCTATACTTGTATATACTTCTATTTCTACTTAAATAGAGAGCAAGATGCTCAGTTTCAACCTTATGTCTTAATAGGTTAATAGGGGAAAAGAACCTTCATTTTTTTATTTACAAAAAATTCTCACCCTCCACCCGATGGACATGCTGGAACTGCTGGAGCGCATGAGGGTGCAGCCACAGGGCAACATACTACTGTTGGTGCAGCAGCACCATTACCACCAAGGCCAAAACACGCCAACAATGGTTGCACGCTAGCCATTAATAGTATCGTTGTACGAATCTGAAAATAGGTGAATTTTGCTATTATTGATTGTTTTCAATCAATAATCTTAACACATTTCATTTTGGTGTATAAGTGATAAAATGTCTATCCTACTTCATGACTTTTACCAAAATGAACTGTTAGATTAGTATCGCAATTTACAGAATTGCCTTCTTGCTTGGAAAAGAATTTTCTCAGCTATTGTTTCTGAACTCTTGTCAAATTCTTAACTTTTAAGAAACGCAATTAGTCAACATCTCCCAAAGCGAAATCTCGCTCAAAACTTCAGGTAATTTTAGCTCCTCTATACAAAGCTTAGACCTCGACTAACAAGGAAAAAAATCTGAAGACTATGACGGTCCTATACACTCAGAAAGCGTCCATTAGAAACGATTACGTAGACTAGATTGACGATGGTCTTATGACGAAAACTAGGTTGAAGATGGAAAGCTTTAAAAAACCGTTTGTTTGTTTAAATTCTCATAGCGCATGAATTCCGGGATGAACAGGTGAACGGTGCAAGCGTGTTTTCTTAGGGGCCCTAAGAAGTTTGATGCGCTTCAGGTTTTTCTCATGGTTTTATCAAATCCGTTTGGATTCAGGCTTGACGGATTGCATAATCGAAAGATGAGGGAAAAAAGCGAATTTTGAAGCACGGATAAGCTTTCACTGACTAAGATTTCTATTTTTAAACTTTTCGATCAATCATTATTAATCGTATTGATTCTGCGATTTACACCAAAATAATTGTTTTCACATAACTTTGAGTATTAATAGATTAGAGCTTTTCAATCTTCTTCAAATACTCATAATCTTGCTTATATTTGAATCTACAGAATGTAAGGTAAGGAAGTATCTCCACAAGACCCTTATGAATCTTAACAAATAAGATTTGCGGAAAATGGAAAAAAACTCGGGCGGAACTTGCTCCTATTGTACTTCTACTGTGTTTGTCAAGCGTGCCTTCGCCTGATTCATTCGTACTTCAGCATTAATAATCCCTCTCGGCGAAAGCGTTCCAAAATTGGAATGAAAATGTTAGATGGTCCGACTTTATTATTCGCTATATCTATAGCTATAAGATAGACGGTAGAAAAACACTGTACTGATAGCAAAAATTTGTTAGCACAACTGATGGAATGTTCTTCATTGTGT